GTCCCAGTAGAAAAATTTTTTGTCTCCGCCACTGTACCATACCATGGGTTTATTGTGTGACCTTGTCTATATATAATATCAAGCATCGTTTAACAACTTATAATCTATTATATAATTAGGGAGTTTTCTCTCTATCTAAGGTGTCCACATAGACAAAAATATTTTTTAAAACATTTAAATTTTAAAATGGTCATTTACTACACACTAAATCATATTTATTATTTTTTTATAAATGAAAAAATAGATTAAAAATTTTGAAAGGCTAAATAAAAATAATGAAAATGAAAATTAATAAATACAAAACTATACATGATTTTATTAGTCATGATAATATGAATTTTTTTTTACCAAAATATATATACACATATAAAGAAAACTAAATAATGTGTTTATGAATTTTATAATTGAAACAATTAGTAATAATCACTGACGTAGTAAAATGTTAAGAAAAAACAATATTTTCTATATTATTTTAAAAGTTATATATCTTATGAAATATGTAAAGTTTTTTCTTATTAAAAAGTTTGTAATTCAATTAAAAAAGTACATTCAATCGCACATTAGGAATACCAACATTTAAGAAATAGTATCCTTAAATCTTAATTATTTTTCTACGATGAAAAAAAATCAAAGCTTACGAGACGAAGATAAATGAGAAAAATGTATTAAACTATTTTTATCCATTAAAAAGCCATTTCCAAAAAGATCTACAAATTCCTTCAACTCTAGCTAGCAAAACCCTAAATCAAACTTAAAGAATAAAATTTACACCTTACTGATGAAGAGATCCGCGATTGAAAAAAACTGTAAACAACAAGCAAACAAGACGTTGTTCAGTATCTTCCATAGGCCACAATATTAAAGACATTGTGAAGTGCAGAGTGCGAAGTATAAGAGAATATAAAGAAACATTGTGAAAACATATGGAAACCACCTATGGTTGATAAATTATACTATAAATCTAAATAAGAAAATGATTGATTAATTTTTTTTTTTTTGGGTCAAAGAATGATTGATAATTTTTTTTTTTCAAATTTGTAGTTGGTTATTTAGATAATATGATTTATCTAAAGGCCAAATATATGTACATAACAAAATTTTAAACAAGCAAATTTTAAATAGTAACTTCGGTATTTTCATGCAACATTAAATTATTTTATTTTAAATAAAATATTATTTTATATTTACAAAAATTTTGTTGTTTTATC